CAGGAGCGACCTGATCTAAACCCATGTTGCCCTGGATTGTGTAACTGATTGGTATCTAAATGGTTGGCGATCTTGCTTCTTAAAACCCTCTCAAAGATTTTTATGATATGGGATTTGATATGACAAATGTTGTGTTATATGAAAAAGGACTGGTTCAAGTTCCTGGGAGGCATTTGGTATGTAATTAATGTAGATTAATAATAGTGAGTTAAAATACCATAATGCTCTAATTTCTGAAGCAAGATGTTGTGGTTTAGTGTGTCAAATGCTTTTATTTTATCAATAAAGCAGTCCACTGTATATTCATTATTTTCTCTAGCTGAATAGACAGGGGAGAATCTTAATGTTAGCATTATTAGTACTTTTTTCCTGGCCTGAAGCTGAACTAGTAGTCATTAAGAATTTTCTGTTTAGTTTATTAAACTTATCAATAATCCTACTAACCTTAATAATAACCTACTAACCCTTTGATATACCTTTGATGAGTTTTAAGAGTCTCACTACTCTCAGAGCCCATCAACATTGAAATACTAACCCAATCAATAACCCCACAATACTACTAATTCAACAATAACCCTAACCCATCAATAACCATACCCCATCAATAACCCTAATAACCCACCATTAACCCTAATAACCCCATCAGTAACTATTAACATATAGATTTAGATTTTTTTTATTTTGACAAATTACATGGTTGTACATTGGAATATAATAGTTGGGTGTACATGCCAAAAGCCCCTCTGTATGCTGAGCATTTCAGGCAAACTTAAAGATTAACTTAAGAATAGTAAGGCAATAATACATAGTTCATATGGTTATTAGACGAGTTAGAGTGAGTACAGGAGAACTGAATATTATATCAGGTGATGGTACTGAATTAGCTAATAAAGATTACAGTATTACAACGTAATAATTTAAAACAATTTACAATGTGATGTATTACAGTTTAGTACTATTTAAAACAATTAAATTTGGTATTACAATGGAACAATTTACATTATGATGTACTGTATTACAATCTACTACTATTTAAAACAATGAAAAGAACAGACATTCTAATTTGGAAGTAGTAAGTGGTTGAGCATTCATCAGCACAATATGAGTAGCTTTTGAGAAATTGGTAGTGGTTAGGTATGGTTTGTCTGGTTAATTTTGGGTGATGAGGTGATTTCTTAAACTGATTTGCAGATAGGGGTCCTTTAGTTTGTTCAGGCAATGAAGTCCAGATCTTCGAGCCTTTTACGTGCATAGCATTTTTGTACAGGGAGAGATGAACACTGGGAATATCGAACAGTGATCTGTGTCTCGTATTATGGTTGTGTGTTCCGTTATAGTTATCAAGGAGGAATTTGAGAGGAGGGTTTACATTAGAGTATAGTGTTCTGTGTATGTAGTAGGCACAATAATAGGTGTGGATGTTTTGTATATTTAGCAAGTTAAGACTCTTGAAAAGTGGTGGAGTGTTGTCTCATGCAGGAGTTAGTAATCAATCGCACTGCAGCTTTTTGCTGGGTTATTAAAGGCTTAAGGTGATTTGCTGTGATTGAGCCCCATGCACAAATACCATAGGTGAGGTAAGGGTAAATGAGAGAGTGGAACAAAGCTAGAAGAGCTGATTGGGGTACATAGTACCATATCTTTGAAAGGATGCCTACTGTTTTGGAGACTTTCTTGGAAATCTGTTGTGTGTGTCTGAAATTTAAGACTGAAGTCAAGGTGGAGACCTAGAAATTTGCCCTCTGCCTGTCTCGTGATAGGTGAACCATTTATCAATACGTTTAGCTGTACATTTGAAGCTGTTTCCGAAAAGCATGAAGTAGGTTTTGTCTATATTGAGAGTAAGTTTGTTGATGTGCTCTTCACACCAACTCCAAGGCTGATAAATTAAGACACATGTGCAACTCTTGGGTATCTTTGGGCATTAGACAATAAAGATACCCACGAGTTGCATGTGTCTAATTTATCAACGTGTCGGTTCTCTGAACCAATCATCTACAACTCCAAGGCTGAGGGACTGATTACCTCATCTCTTGTATATAGTTCTACTGTCTTCAAATTATGTCCTAGAATTTGTATTGATAAAGCCACTGGTTGGCAAAACGTCTACAATAAAGACACCCAGATGTTGCACACCTGTCTAAATTTTTCAACTATAACCCAATCAACAATCCCACTATTAATCAACAACCCTACTAATTCATCAATAAACCCTCCCGCCCACCAGCATCCCCCCTCGCCCACCAGCATCCCCCCTCGCCTACCAGCATCCACCCTCGCCCACCAGAATTCCCCCTTTGCCCGCCAGCATCCCCCCCCACCCACCAGCATCCCCCTCACCCACCAATAACCCCTTTAACTCATTAACAACCACCTAAATCATCAATAGCTCTCCCAACCCATTAACAACACCTAATAAGCCATCAATAACCCTTCCAACCCATCAATAACCCACTTAACCCATCAATAACCCTAACCCATCAATAACCTACCCCATAACCCCTCACAATAACCCTCCTAAAATCCAAAGCAATAACCCTCCTAAATCCCCCAACCATCAAAACCTCCTAATCCATCAATAACCCTCCTAACCCAAACTCTTAACCATCAACCCTCCTAATCCATCAATAACCCTCCTAACCCATCAATAACCCTAGTAATCCATCAATAACCCTCCTAATCCATCAATAATCCTCCTAATGCATCAATAACCCTCTTAACACATTAATAACCCTCCTAACCCCTCAATAACCCTCCTAAACATTAATAACCCTCCTAACATCAATAACCCTCCTAACCCATCAATAATCCTCCTAATCCATCAATAACCCTCCTAACCCATCAATAACCCTCCTAACCCAACAATAACCCTCCCAATGCATCAATAACTCTCCTAACCCATCAAAAACCTCCTAATCCATCAATAACCCTCCTAATCCACATAACAATAACCCATCAATAACCCTCCTAACCCATCAATAGCCCTCCTAATCCACCAATAACCCTCCTAATCCATCAATAACCCTCCTAACCCGTCAATAACCCTCCTAACCTATCAATAACCCTCCTAACCATCAAAAACCCACCTAACCCATCATTAACCCTCCATATCCATCAATAACCCTCCTAATCCATCAATAAACTCTCTTAACCAATCAATAACCCTCCTAATTCATCAATAACCTGCCTAATGCATCAATAACCCTCCTAATGCATCAATAACCCTCCTAATCCATCAATAACCCTCCTAACCCATCAATAACCCTCCTAACTAATCAAAAACCCTCCTAATCCATCAACAACCCTTCTAACCCATTAATAACTAAACCATCAATAACCCTAACCCATCAATAACCCTCTTAACCCATCAATAACCCTCCTAATCCATCAATAACCCTCCTAACCCATCAATAACCTTCCTAATTCATCAATAACCCTCCTAATGCATCAATAAACCTCCTAACCCATCAATAGCCCCTAACCATCAATTAACCTTCCTAACCATCAATAACCCTCCTAACCATCAATAACCCTCCTAACCCATCAATCATCCTAACCCATCAATAACCCTCCTAAACCATCAATAACCCTAACCCATCAACAACCCACTTTAAACCCCTCAATAACCCTCTTAACCCATCAATAAACCCTCCCAATCCATCAATAACCTTCCTAACCATCATAACCCTCACTAACTCATCATAAACCCTCCTAACCATCAATCATCCTAACCCATCATATAACCCTAACCCATCAAACAACCTCTTAACCCATCAATAACCCTCCTAACCATCAATAACCCCTAACCCATCAATAACCCCCAACCCATCAATAACCCTAACCCATCAACCCCACTAACCCATCAACAACCCTCCTAACCCATCAAAACCCTCCTAACCCATCAAAACCCTCCTAACTATCAAAAACCTCCTAAACCCATAATAAAACCCTCCTAACCCATCAATAACCCTCTTAACCCATCAATAACCCCACTAACCCATCAACCACTTAACCCATCAATAACCCTCCTAACCCATCAATAACCCTCCTAACCCATCAATAACCCTCCTAACCCATCCATAACCCCACTAACCCATCAATAACCCCACTAACCCATTAATAACCCTCCTGACCCATCAATAACCCTCCCAACCCATCATAATCCCACTAACCCATCAATAACCCTCCTAACCCATCAATAACCCATCAATAACCCCACTAACCCATCAACCCCACTAACCCATCAATAACCCCACTAACCCATCAATAACCCTCCCAACCCATCAATAACCCCACTAACCCATCAATAACCCTCCTAACCCATCAATAACCCTCCTAACCATCATAACCCTCCTAACCCATCAATAACCCCCACTAACCCATCAATAACCCCACTAACACATCAATAACCCCACTAACCCATCAGTAACCCTCCCAACCCATCAATGACCCTCCTAACCCATCAATAACCCTCCTAACCCATCAATAACCCTCCTAACCCATCAATAACCCCACTAACCCATTAACCCTCCTAACCCATCAGTAACCCTCCTAACCCATCAATAACCCTCCTAACCCATCAATAACCCTCCTAACCCATCAATAACCCTCCTAACCCATCAATAACCCCCCTAACCCATCAATAACCCTCCTAATCCATCAATAACCCTCCTAACCCATCAATAACCCTCCCAACCCATCAATAACCCCACTAACCCATCAATAACACTCATAACCCATCAATAACCCTCCTAAACCATCAATAACCCTCCCAACCCATCAATAACCTCCTAACCCATCAATAACCCTAACCCATCAATAACCCTAACCCATCAATAACCCTCCCAACCCATCAATAACCCTCCTAACCCATCAATAACCCCCCTAACCCATCAATAACCCCACTAACCCATCAATAACCCCACTAACCCATCAATAACCCCACTAACCCATCAATAACCATGAGCGTCATGCAGGTGCCGGGTGAGAATAATACTCACAGTGGTGCTAGGTAGCCAGTAAGCCACTGCTTCAGCAGGTCAGGACTCTCGATGATCATTGTTGCAAGGTGTGTGATCCAGGGACTGAGAGCCAGGGAGAGCCAGTGAAAGAGCCAGTGAAAGAGCCAGTGAAAGAGCCAGTGAGAGCCAGGTTAAGAGCCAGTGAGAGTTATCAGTAAGTTATCTACCACACCGGGACATCAGAAGTCTCTAGTTTTTTTTTTTTTTCAAGGCAGCCAAGCCATGGTGTTATCCCTGGCAGGAGGTATCCCCTGCGGGGTCGGGGATGATCACTGGTAATACCGTGGAGGAGGAGGAAGATGATTTTTGAAAAGGTTTGTTGGGTAAAGTGTTGGCTGGGATAAGTGTAAACAATGTTGTGGTGCCGTGACAACACTGTTATAAAGTGGGTGTTACACCGCCACCGGTGGTGTCACTACGCCAGCTACCACCGCAACACCACCACACAACACTCTGGCATCTTACACCCACACCACCATACGCCAAAACCTCAGGATATATCAAAATTTGTGGGGTGAACTTGGGTGAACTTAGTCAAGGGAAAGCTGACGACAACAGATGACGAGTCACGTGACCTCCAACACCTGAAGCACTACATCCGCAAGTTATCTACATCAACATTCCTTATTATTAATCCATTTTGAAAGTGCCTACGCAATGTACTATATTTATTTTAATACTTTTTTGATAGGAAATATTATTATAAATGTTAATACATTGCTAGTGTATGTCAACCTCATGGCATGTTCCAGAATACCATTGTATGGTTTTTCCTGGTAACCATAGGTCAGAAATATTTATTAATATATATTATACATTATTCACAACGTTAAAATAGTTCTTAATGATCGTGAATAAATGTAGATGAGTAAAATGGCTTAGAGTATCAATACGGCTTCATTTAACATTAAATACACCACATTCCACAGGTTTATTAAACCCAGGAGTCTGTTTTATAGCCAGGTGACTATACTGGTGGTCAGTATAGGTAACTTACAGTGCCCGGGGTTACATCATGGCACTTTGTAATGTTAGTGGTAATCAGCAGCGGACTTACAGTTTCGGGGCCCTGAAACTTCAACTGTTATGGGGGCCCCTTGGCAACCCCTTCTCATACAGTAGACCCAGAATTTTTAAGCAATGTGGACTAAAGTCGTTTCTGGGGCCTCTCCGGGATTAGGGGCCCTGAGATTAAGCTTCATTATTTTCATAGTAGATCCGCCCCTGGTGGTAATGTAGCGTCACTCAGTAATACCGAGGTAAATACCACTACCTCAGACTACACATGACCTATATACCCTCCCTGGGGCACACTGCCCTCTTCACGGCCCACCAGGAAAACGGGATCGAACCCCACTACCATGGCTAGGTGAGTATGAGACTGAACATAAACACACGTCAAGTGGACCTATCAGGCCCGTGGCCTGGTAGGCAACGCTCTCAGTTCACACGCTGAGTGTCCGTTGTTCGAACCATGGAGTATGCCCAGAGAAGGTTTCGGGGGTCAGCGCCCCCGAAACCTAATTCACCTCGCGGTGAATTAGGGCCTGATCAACCAGGCTGTTACTGCTGGCCGCACGTAGAGTGACGTACGAACCACAGCCAGGCTGGTCAGGTACTGACTTTAGGTGCCTGTCCAGCCCCATCTTGAAGACAGCCAGGGGTCTATTGGTAATCCTTCTTATGTATGCTGGGAGGCAGTTGAACAGTCTAGGGCCCCCTGACACTTATTGTGTTATCTCTTAGCGTGCTCGTGACACCCCTGCTCTTCACTGGGACGGATGCTGCACCGCCCAGTGGAAACACTAGGTTCAATTCAATTCAATTCAAAGTTTATTCTCTATAAGGATTACAATGCTGAGTTTACAGAAATTTGGTTATTGTTTGGTTTACATGTAGTAAAATTGTGATTACAGAGTGTACCACTAGAACGCTTAGCATGGCTAGGCATTTCGGGCATACTTAGTTTTATTCTTAATTGTAAAATATTACAAATTATGAGGTAAGTTGGTATTATGGCTAAGTGACTAAATACTAGTTTGTGAGTTTAGCAATGTGAATGCTTTTGTTTTGGCACAGTACATAGTTTCAGTATTGGAGTATCACAGGATTCATTATTTTAAGACTGAGATTAATATTTCTGTTTATGGTCAAATGAGTGAGTGAGTGTAAGTGTGAACCACCAGGTGGTATTCGTGTAGTTAGTTGACTGGGTGTATCAGGGAGATAAGATGTTTTCTAATGGTAGTTTTGAAGGTGATGAATGTGTCTGCAGTTCTAGAGTTCTCAGGTAGGGTATTCCAGATTTTAGGGCCTTTGACATACATTGAATTTTTGTAAAGGTTTAGTCGGACACGGGGAATGTCGTAGAGATGTTTGTGTCTGGTGTTATGCCTGTGGGTTCTGTCACAACTATCAAGAAAGCGTTTTAGGTCAAGGTTGATATTAGAGTTTAAGGCCCTGTAGATGTAGATTGCACAGTAGTAAGTGTGGATGTACTGAACTGGGAGTAAGTTTAGATCTATGAAGAGTGGGGGGGTGTGTTGCCAGGGATGGGATTTAGTGATTATTCTTACTGCAGCTTTTGTTGGGTTATTATTGGCTTTAGGTGTGTTGCTGCAGTTGATCCCAAGCACAAATAGCATAGGTGAGGTATGGATAAATAAGTGAGTGGTATAGTGTGTGAAGGGCATTTTGCGGCACGTAGTATCGTATCTTGGAGAGGATCCCAACCGTTTTGGATACTTTTTTGGCTATATGCTGGATATGGGTGCTGAAATTCAGGTTGTTGTCAAGGTATAAGCCTAGGAATTTTCCCCCATTATTTCTGGTAATTAGAGTGTTGTCAATCTTAATGTTAATTTGTGCATCTCCTGCTCTGCTACCAAACATAATATAGTAGGTTTTGTCAGTGTTAAGCGTAAGTTTATTGGCTGTCATCCAAGTCGATATTTTAATCAGCTCCTCATTCACAATGGTAATAAAGTTGGTAGAATTACCGACAATATGTAAAGTAAAAGGAAACAAGTGCAACTAATGTGACATTTATTGTGGCAATGTTTCGCTCTCCAGGAGCTTTATCAAGCCATTACAAACAATACATGGACACAGAGGGTATATAAAGGCTCAGAGTGAGGTGAATACTAGTGAGGTACCATTTCGATGTTCACTAGTGGTAGTAGTAGTAGTAGTAGTAGTGGTAGTGACAAAAGTAATACAATATGGTAGAGCAATTAATTCGTACATGAGTAAAAGGATATAAAAGCTATTACTTGGGTAACATAAAAATAGGTTGGACAAATATAAACTGGAATGAGGCAGCTTGTTTCAGTGTTCACTCTCTGTGCTTTGTGTAGTATAACAGGAGAGACTATGTGATGGCAGGGTTTACTGTTTTCAGGAGGATTCTTGCTAAGACTTCGGAGATGGTGAAGCTGCCGTTGTTTTGTTTAATTGTATTCGAAACAGCGATCAGTGCTGATTCGAGGCACTTACGTCTGCGGAAATTAGTTTCTTTGATCACTAATTGGGCGTCTCTGAATTTCATGAGATGATTGGTGGAATTTCGGTGTTGTACACAGGCGTTGTTCAGGTTATCGTTCCTACATGCGTAAATGTGTTCATTGAGGCGGGTGTCGAGGTTTCTGGCTGTTTCACCTACGTAAATCTTGTCACAGCCTCCACAGGGTATAGTGTAAACTCCGGCATTGACTGGTTCGTGGTGCTTGGATTTTGTCCTGGTTATATCCTTTATTAAAGTGCTAGAAGCGATGGCGACTCTGGTGTTAGCTTGTGAAAGTGCTTTTGAGACGTTCAGTGCAACCTGACTGTTGGGAAGAATTATAACTTTGCTGGGAGTGGTGTTGATGCGTGGAGAATTTATGATCTGAAGAGCTCTTTTCTTGCAGTCTTTGATGAAAAAAGGAAGGAAAATGTAACTCTGTGAATGTTTGGTGAATGTATGTACACTCCTCGTCAAGAAACTCAGGACTACAAATTCGGTATGCTCTTAGGAAAAACCCGATGATGATGCCTCTTTTGGTCTTGGTATCTTGACTGGAATAGAAGTGTGTGAGATAATTTTTATTGGTGGGTTTCCGATAAACTTGAAATCTTAGGTTGTTGTCTACTTTGTGAATGAGGACGTCGAGGAAAGGTAGCTTGTCATTGGACTCTTCTTCTAGTGTAAACTGGATCGCCGGTTCAACTGCGTTGAGCCTTGCCTGAAGATCCCGTACATCAAAACGTTTTGGAGTTATTACGAGGACATCGTCCACGTAACGTAACCAAGTGACGCTTGAAGGGATGATGTTGGCGAAGTGTTCGGACTCTAGGTGTTCCATGTATAAGTTGGCTAGGACGGCACTGATGGGGGACCCCATTCCCATGCCGTAGGTTTGTTTGTAGAGCTTGTTATTGAAAGAAAAACAGTTGAAATTAACACAGAGTTCAATTAAGTCAACAAAATCTCCGGGAGGTAGAGGAAGATTAAGGTCCTGATTGACTTTACGTCGTAGAACGTCGATGGCTTTTTTGGTAGGTACTTTTGTGAAGAGGGAAGTCACATCCAAACTGCTTAGTTTCTTGTTACAGATGGAGAGGTTAAGGTCAGTGGTCATGTGTGGTCATACCTGTCCTAAGCTCTCTGGGAGTTAGTGTGGGGTGTTACCAAGCACCATGGCTTGTAGTGCTTTAGAATCCCAGGTTCAGGTGTTGAAGAAAGAGGTTCTACTTCTTCAGGAGGAAAATAGGAGGCTGAAGCTTTGCTTAGAGGGGTTTGTGAGTGAGTGTGAGATAGATTTAGCTGGTAAGGAGGAAATGGTCACCAGCAGGGAGAGTGGCAGCCACTTTAAGTGGCAAGTGGTTCACAGTTCAGGAAGAAGGAAGATAAGGAGGGTTAACAGAGAAGATGTGAAGGTAGGATCGATTCTCTGTTCTCCAGGACGAGTGTACGTCAGTAGTCAGTGAGGTTGAAGATACCACTGATTCCCCTGCTAATCAAGGTAAGAATATTTTAATTGTAGGAGATTCTCAGGTAAGATATATGAACTGTGCATTTTGTAACAGGGATAGAAAGGTCAGACAGAGGGTGTGCCTTCCAGCAGCTGGTATTGGTGACATAGTCAGCAGGTTGGATAACATTATGTCTGGTAATTGGAACAAGCCCATTATCTGTCTTAGTGCTGGGGGTAATGACATTGGGAAGGACAGGAAACAGGAGCTGCTGGATAGGTACAGGTCAGCCATAGAAATAGTCAGGTCTAAGGAAGGGATCCCAGTCATATATAGCATCTTGTCTAGAATGGGAGTGGGCAATGAGTGGATGTGTAGGGCATTTGGTATAAATTGTTGGCTAGACAGGTACTGCAAGGCACTTGCAATCCCATTCATTGATAACTGGGACAAATTCTATGGCAAACATGATATGTATGCGTAATAGCCTACATAGCGTAATAGCGCACAAAATGCGTGCTAAAGGAATAACAGGAAAAGTCGGTCGATGGATCTATAATTTCCTCACTAACAGAACACAGAGAGTAGTCGTTAACAGAGTACAGTCCGAGGCAGCTACGGTGAAAAGCTCTATTCCACAAGGCACAGTACTCGCTCCCATCTTGTTC